AACCTATCCTCCTCAGATTATTCCAAAAAATCCAAGAGGAAGGAACACTTCCAAACTCCTTCTATGAAGCCAGCATCACCCTAATACCAAAACCAGATAAAGACAACTCAATGAAAGAGAATTACAGGCCAATATCCCTCATGAACATAGATGCCAAAATCCTCAACAAAATTCTAGCAAATCGGCTCCAGCAGAGCATCACAAAGATCATACACCATGACCAAGCAGGATTTATTCCAGGAATGCAAGGATGGTACAATATCCGCAAATCAATAAACGTGATACATCACATAAACAAGTTGAAAGATAAAAATCATATAGTCATATCAATTGATGCAGAAAAAGCATTTGATAAAATCCAACACCCTTTCCTGATAAAAACTCTCAACAAGGTGGGAGTACAAGGATCATACCTCAACATAATAAAAGCTATATATGATAAACCCACAGCCAACATCATACTCAATGGGCAAAAACTAAAACCATTCCCTCTAAGAACAGGAACAAGACAGGGATGCCCACTTTCGCCACTCCTCTTTGACATAGTACTGGAAGTACTAGCCATTGCAATTAGACAAGAGGAGGAAATAAAAGGCATCCAAATTGGAAAAGAAGAAGTAAAGTTATCCTTATTTGCAGACGACATGATATTGTACATAAAAAACCCAAAAGACTCTATTAAAAAACTAATTGGCTTAATAAATGAATTTGGCAATGTAGCAGGATACAAAATTAACGCCAAGAAATCTATGGCATTTCTATACACCAACAGCGAATTTATAGAAACAGAGACTAAAAAAGCAATTCCATTTACCATCGCACCAAAAAAATTAAGATATCTAGGAATAAATTTAACTAAGGAAGTAAAGGACCTATATGCGGAAAACTACACGACACTGAAAAAAGAGATAGAGGAAGATGTAAACAGATGGAAGAACATACCATGTTCATGGATTGGTAGAATCAACATCATCAAAATGTCCATACTTCCTAAAGCAATCTATAGGTTCAATGCACTCCCCATTAAAATACCAACGGCATACTTCACTGACCTAGAAAGAACTCTCCAAAAGTTCATTTGGAACAATAAAAGACCCCGAATAGCCACAGCAATCCTGAGAAAGAAGAGTAAAGTAGGAGGGATCTCAATACCAGACTTCAAACTGTATTACAAAGCCACTGTTCTCAAAACAGCCTGGTACTGGCACAAAAACAGACATATAGATCAATGGAATCGAATCGAGAACCCAGATATCAACCCAAATCACTATGCTCAATTAATATTTGATAAAGGAGGCATGAATATACAATGGAGTCAAGACAGTCTCTTCAATAAATGGTGTTGGGAAAATTGGACAGATACATGCAAAAGAATGAAACTGGATCACCAACTTACACCATACACAAAAGTAAACTCAAAATGGATACAGGACTTAAACATCAGACGGGAAACCATAAAAATACTAGAAGCATCCACGGGCAGCAAAATCTCAGACATATGCCAAAAGAACTTCTTCACTGATACTGCCCCTAGGGCAATGGAAGCTAAAGAGAAAATAAACAAATGGGACTACATCAAAATAAAAAGCTTTCTTACAGCAAAAGAAACCATCAACAAAACAACAAGAAAGCCCACAATGTGGGAGAACATATTTGCAAATGTTACCACTGATAAAGGTTTAATCTCCAACATCTACAAACAGCTTATACAACTAAATAAAAGGAAGATGAATGATCCAATTAAAAAATGGGCAATGGACCTAAATAGAATATTTCCAAAAGAAGACAGAAGGAAGGCCAAAAGGCACATGAAAACATGCTCAAAGTCACTAATTATCCGAGAGATGCAAATCAAAACAACAATGCGGTACCATCTCACACCTGTCAGGATGGCCAACATCAACAGATCAACAAACGACAGGTGTTGGCGAGGTTGTGGAGAAAAGGGAACCCTCGTGCACTGCTGGTGGGAATGCAGACTGGTGCAACCACTGTGGAGAACAGTGTGGAGTTTCCTCAAAAAACTGAAAATGGAACTCCCATTTGACCCAGTAATCCCACTCCTAGGAATATATCCCAAGAAACTAGAAACACCAATCAGAAAGGATATATGCACCCCTATGTTCATAGCAGCACAATCTACAATAGCTAGAATTTGGAAACAGCCTTGGTGCCCATCAGCAGATGATTGGATCAAAAAACTTTGGTACATCTACACAATGGAATACTATGCTGCCATAAAAAAGAAGGAATTCTCATCATTTGTAGCAACCTGGATGGAAATGGAGAACATCATGCTGAGTGAAATAAGCCAGTCATTGAAAGAAAAACACCACATGACTTCACTCATTTGTGGATAATAAAGAACATTATAAACTGATGAACCAAAAGATAGATATAAAGATAGTATATCAACAAGCAGACTGTCAAATTACAGCGGGGAGGGGAGGAAGATCTGGGGGAGATAATAGATCAATCGAAGGACTTTTATACATGCACATAAGTACAACCATTGGACATAAAACTCTGGGGAGGGAGGGGATATGAGGGAGGGAGGGAGGGGGGCAAAAAAAAAATCAAAAAAATATATATATATTTAAAAAAAAAAAAAGACTGAAGAAAGGACCTCTTTTCCACTATTTTGAATGCTTAATAGTTAATTTCATAACATCACATGTACCATTTTAAGAAAGTGATGATTTAGTGGGAAATTAATGCTTTGCATCTGTATACTGTAAATATAAATGACGATTTGTTTGAAATGTGAAAAAAAATAAATAAATAAAATAAAATCACACAATGAGTTGAAAAAAAAAAAAAAAAAAAAAACTATAGTAACACTTCATAGCTCCCTCCTCTCTATCCCCCATGGTATTTTACACTTACTACTACTATAGAAAATATCACATTAAATTGTCATCATTGCCAAAACCGGTTTGGCTCAGTGGATAGAGCATCAGCTTGTGGACTGAAGGTTCCCATGTTCAATTCCAGTCAAGGGCATGTACCTTGGTTGTGGGCACATCCCCAGTGGGGGGTATGCAGGAGGCGGCTGATCAATGTTTCTCTCTCATCGATGTTTCTGTCTCTCTATCTCTCTCTTCCTCTCTATTAGAAAATCAATAAAATATATTAAAAAATAAATTTTCATCATTGTTTATGTCACTAGATTATGAGCTTCTTTGGCAAAATATTCTATCGCATAGAAAGCCCTCAAATTATAAAATGAGTCTGACAGAATGTTTTTTGTGAAACACTAAGTAAGCAATTGTCTATTAAGAAGGCATACATATTGCTGGAATGACTGGAAAAGGCAAACTTTGACCCCTATTCATACCATATATGAAAATTAACCCGAGCCAGATCTTAGAGATGTAATCATAAAGGCTAAAACCATAAGTTTTTAGAAGAAAACGAAAATACCTTTGTGACTGTGGAATAGGCAAAAGTTTCTTAGAAACTTTTAAAAAAAATTAATGTTAGACTTCATCCACATTAAAGAATTCATCTCACTGAGCTATTCCAGTAAAATAATCCATAGGCAAGTTCAGGCAGGGATATAATATCAAAAAAATATATCTGACAAAAGACTTGTATCCAGAATATATAAATAACTTAGAACTTAAGAACTAAAAGAAAAGAGAAAGAGTAAAGCAATTGGACAGAGGATACACAAATGGCCAATAAGTACATGACAAGCAGCTCAACATCAGTAATGATTAGAAAAATGCCAATTAAAATCCTATGAAGACAATAAACTACTTATTTACACACCCACTAACTGGAAAAAAGTTAAAAAGAGTGATAGCATCAAATTTTGGAGAGAATGAGAAGCAACCAGACTCTCATACTTTGTTGATGGGAATGTACAATGGAACCACCTCTTTGGGAACAGATCTGGAAGTTTCTTATAAACCTAAATGTAAATCTACTATATAATAGAGCAGTTTCACTCTTTGTTATTTACCCAAGAAATGTGAAAATAAATGTCCACTAAAAGATTTGTATAAGAATTCCCATAGATAAAATTTTATTCATAAAATCCAAAAACTGGAAACAACCTGTTTATCCGCTGATAGGAAAAAGGATACAAAAATTACAATATAATCATACAATGGTATACTATGCAATTAAGTTTTAAAAACTTATGCATTCATCATCATGGATGAATTTCAAAACCATTTGTTGAATGAAAGAGCCTCATACACAAGAATACATGTTGCATGCCTTTGAAGAAGTTCTAGAACAGTCAAATTAATCTGTGGTAGAAAAAAAATTAATGTAATTGTTGCCTCTAGGAAGACTGGGGAGCAGGGATTGAAGGGAAAAGTACATGCAGGAACTTTCTGGGGTGCTGATAAGGTTCTAAACCTTGATATGGGTATAGGTTCTGTGTATACATTTGTCAAAACTCAACTGGTATACACTTAAGACTTGTGCCCTTTTTGCTAGATATACATTTTATGTCAAAAGAAAACTTATACACAAATATGGAACCCTAGTTAATGATATGCAAACTGAGGTGTTTGGAGAATGGGTATAGCTGTTAGCAGTTGGAATTTATAAAAAATATAAGATAGATTGATGGAAAGATAAGTGACAGATTAATGGATAGATATGTGATAAGCAAGTATAGTAAAATGTTCTAGTAAAACCTAGATGTTGGATATACTTATTGTAAATTTCTTTCAGTGATTTATGATAAAAGGTTTTATGATAAAAAAAAATAAACTATTAGTTTTTTAAGGTCCTTTCACATGGATCTCTTTGGGGTTAATATCCCCTTCTAGCACAGAAACCCTGAAAGTGCAACTCTCTAATGGAGTAGACATCACTTTGAAACCTGAAAGAGATATGAAGCTTAAATGGACAAATTCTGGGTGCTCAAGCTTTTATTGGCATACTCTTGTTACATTAAGGGAAAAGTTTTATTTCTATTTTTGGAGGAGTCCTTCTAAACTGCTCTCTCTTCTCTCCCCGAAACACTCTCCTCTGTGTAGGAACCTTCCTGTCATCCTGGACTGGGTAAAAACTAAGAAGCCTGGAACCATGGGTGTCAACATCATCACGTCTGACTTCGTGGACCTGGTGGACTTTGCCACAACTGTCATTGAATTGAATGACCTCCTACAGGAGGATAGAGCTTTGGCCAAATGCTGATTCAATTTTTATTTATTTTAATATTGAATCTTTTGATCCAGGCTGGAGTTCTGAAGGGTTTTCTGTTAGGATGGCTCCTGGGCAGTGATGGTGAAGTGAATAGAAGGAGAAGGAGGGTGTTTTTTCTTTTTCCCCTCCTCACAGGGCCATTCGGATAAAATCCAAGATCTTTTCATTGCATTTTTCCCCATGAGACTTTTGAAAACCTTAAGTCCAAGGGAAGAAAGCATGTTTTATGAGATCGAGGCTAAGATCTCCTTAATGGTTTATGAGGTTGAATGGAATATGGAAATGGAGTCTCCAAGATACATTAGGGAATTGTGTGTCCTCCTACTAGGCCTAGTTCCCTATTGTCTTCCAGGATGTGGTGTTTGAGTCAGTGAGAAAACTGAACCAGAAAAAACATTCCTGGTCAAAAGAATGAGTCCTTGCAGGTGTACATTACCCTGTGCGGTGGCTTAATATTAAGCTTGGGCTTTGAGGGGAGAAAAGGCCAAGCACCAGTTCTCTCTAGACATGTTAAATGTCACCACTTCATCCCTGAGAGAGTAAGACATTTATCACCAAAGTATTTCAGCTGCAAGCTGTTCTTGCATAGCTTATACTTGATAATCGGTCAACTTTATTCTTCAGATAAACAGTGCAGACTGCCCTTGGTGTTAGAAATGTGTTTCCCAGTTTGAAAGCATTGATTCCTTCTCTTTCTTTTGGCCTCTTCTTAAAAGTGAAAAGAACAAAGACCAGAGATCTTTTCATTGTGGGGCCCAACAATAGACAGACATGCATGTTTGTTGCACGCCAGATTTTTTTAAATTTAATTCTGTAGCTTTTTCCAAAATGGCTGCCAGGTAAGCACCTGCATCATTTGGTCAAAATCCTCTTTGGAGTAGGATCTTCAAGCCAGATCTTGGAATTGCATTTCTTTGTTTTCTGCCGTGGACTCTGGTCTATGCCAAGGGACACAACGCTAATGGAAGGTAGCTTATCTGTGGCACCGTGGTGGCATATACAAGGATGCATGGAAAGTGCAATGGATTTAAGGAGGACACGCCAGTGGGTTTGGAGCCATTCCGTATCCTTGAAAACAAGACTACCTCGGGGGACATTTAGGATGACTTGGGTGTCGTCGAGTGAGAAATACCCAGTGTTGGAACATTTCCAGTTCGTGTCTTCCTTGTTCTGAGCCTAGCAATCACCACTGCATGAGGGCTTTGAAACTCACAAGGGGATTTTTCTTTTAATTGATGAGAGGTGCTTATCCATGAAAAGCCCTCTTGTGTTTTATTGTATTTATTTATTTACTTATTTATTTGTAGATTAAGTATCTTCAGTGCTTCTTACCTCATGCGCACTCACCAATGAGCTTCCTGAACTTTCTCACCCTGGCCCAATGCTGCCATGGTCTTCCTCCTTAGCAGGACCACGCATCTCAGGACTGTGAGTGGCCTGTGACTCTGCTGTCCATGTCCTGGCTCCTCAGTACATGAAGGCAGGCGGGGCTCATGTCTAGGCGTGGTCCAGATCTGAGAAGCCACTCTCAAGCCACGCACTGGGGCAGATGATGAAAAGGGTAGTGAAGAACTCTCAGTTCTTGAGGAAGACCCTCCAGAAGAGGGTTGAAAAGAAAGCAGCTAGAAAGAAAACTGAGCATGGGAATGTATGCACGTCGATGCTCCTAAGAACTGGCCGAGAATCTCTGAGGAATTGTTAGCTTCCGGGTTCTACAGGAGAAAAGATAAGCATGCAATCCTGGGTGGCTGTGTGCATGTGTACAGATCCTTGGCCCATCTCCCACTAGTTTCCCATTCCTACTTTTCGATGCTCATGGCTGGATTTGCATGCTGCCTGCAGTGGGGGGTATCCTAGAGTTGCTACTAAAAGCACATGCACACCCCCAATTCTTGGTCTTCCAACCTTTACTCCCTGTAAAGGAATTTAAGCCCTGACCTTTAGCTTCCACAGCTCAAGGAGGTCATAATACAAATGCCTCTGGGCATTAACTTTCCTTACATTTGAGCTCCTCTTCAAGGAGGTTTCTGAGATTTTATTGTCAAATTCTTTAGGGCCTCCTATGGAAAGGAGTAAGGAAGTGGGTGCCCTCACTTTCTCAATTTCCCTTCAGTTCTGATATTAATCTCCAGTGATGAGCTCTGAAATCCCTGGCCCAGCCTCAGGGTTTTATTTGTTGTTATTGTTTCATTTGGGTCTTGTTTTTAATTCATGATCAATTGCTAGGGACTAGATCAGTTCCCCTCTTCAACCCTTTGTTACTTGGCAAAGAGATAAGGAGGCAAGAGGAGAATTACTCTTCTCTGTTTTATTTGAGCCTCAGCTTTGTCCAGGTGCTTGGTGCTACGAGGCCAGGTGTGTGACAGGTGTCCACACAGGACACCAGTGACACCCAAGGGCTGCTGACTGTTCAGTGAAATGTTTACTTGATTTTTTGTTTCCTTTAGTTTTAAAATATGTAGTTGCACTTGGGCTGTACCGTTTAACTGCACCACAGTGTTTGCATGCTAAGAGAAAAGCCATCGAGCATGATAAAGAGCACAGCCAGCGGTACCAAGGGCGTGTGCATGGAGTCCTGCTCTGCATGGCGAGTGCAGGGGCTCGCTCCTTCATGCTCTGTGGGTAGCAGCCTGACTTGCATTTTGCAATTCTGTGCAGGAAATCTGGGAGATAGGAGGAGGATTATTTACAGTTCACCCTTGATAAGCACCCTTGAATTAGCATGATGTCTGCCCCAAGAAGGGATGTGTGCATTCTGCTCCTTGACAGAAGGCCAAGCAGGAGACTCCCATGATGGGACAGACAGAAAACAAGCTTGAGTTCTGTGACTCATTCTGCCACTGCCACCAATAAAAATGGTGACCTGACCATATCACTTATTCTCTTAAGCTCTGGAGACCTTTCTGATCAGATAAGTTTATCTTATCTACTAGTACCCAGAATTAACTTCAAGGTCAGCTAAAAAACTACTTGATTGGTCCAAAAGAGGGTGTTAGGATACGGGGCCATGGTTATCCTGAAAAGTAGACTGAATTTTTTATGAGCTTCCTGGACCATTTGCCACGTGGCCAAGGGGACCATTACAGGTTTCAGTTAGGTTAGAATGGAGTTCAAAGGCTTGAACTTGGAGCCTATTAGAGGTGCCACAGTGGTTTCATGGGTACAGAAAATATTCTCAGGTTTGGAGAGAGAAGTCAAGATAGAGCAGGTAAAATGATAAATGATAGAGAATTAAAATTGTAAATTAATGGCAGATGTAAAGGGTCATGCCAAAAGATACTATCTACCTGCTGTATCAGACTCTCTAGTAATTAAATTTAGTTACTTTTCTTAGTGCTGAGCCCAGACCCCTGTATTCTTGAGAATCAACAAGTCACAGTTTGAAGCAGAATTTTCTATAAACTCAAAAGAAAAGCACAAGGTCCCAGTAATGATCGATCTTCAGAATCCTAGTTTTCTTTCATCACCTCATCTTCACAGTTTGTGTTTCTGTTCAAGAAGATCACATGGTAGAACACTCCAGAGTTAAATGCAGTTTTGTGGTGAAACAGTATTTCCTATTTCTGTTTTTCTGAATCTTACCATAAGAGAGTGCTCCCCATCGAGACATTGTGGCAACCCAACTCGAAGGCTTAATACCAAGCTAAAGGTGGAGACAGAAGGGATGAAGACTGCAATGAAGCCACCTGTTTTCCTGGGAAGCAAAAGGGCTACACAAATCCAGACCATCTGACAGAGTTTGTTTATGTCACAGTTGAAGTTTTGTCGCGTTCTTCATTGGCTGACGGCAGATGTTCACTGTTAGGTTCTGGGAAACAGAACGGGCTAATGAATGGGGCACAGGCATGAGCAAGGAAGTGATCTTGTGCTAAATCTGCCCTGTTCTTTCCTCTGGAATAACAATGCCATCTGCTTACTTTAGTGCTGTTTTTGCAAATCTTCATCAAGCAGCTCCCCAAAACATCAGGTCTAATGATGAGGTCACATGCTATATATTGAGCAGGTGTACAGTTGTGATTATTTGTGTGCATATATGGAGAAATGCTACTGGGGTTCATTCCTCAAAGGCGCCACTGTTAGATGGAAATTGTCTAACAGCGGTACCTGTAGAGTTGTGAGCAGTGAGATGAGCTGGGCGGATGTGAATGTGAACACCTGAGGGTTGGGCTTTCCCCAGTGCACACCAAGTAGTCACGGCATGCCAAGAGGAGATGAATAGAAATAGTAACACAAACTCCACAGTGACAAGAAAGAAGTTTGGTTTGTATGGCTTAGAACATGGCTGTCTCTCCAAATTCCACTGACTTTCCAATACATCTTGGCCCTCTGCCTCAGACTCCTTCCTGCTGTCTGCCTCCATGGCTTGTCACTCACACACCTTGTCTTGGGACACACAGGAGTGAATTGGTTGGCTGATACGTGATTTAACTGGAAACTTTACCCTTAATTCCAATTGATACTAAAAAGCTCTTTACTGCCCCAAGATCCCCCAATTTCCTGCTAGAAATAATGATGCTAAGGTCATTCTGTCACTGGCTTGGCCCTAACCCAGAGAATGCAGCACACAATGCCATGGTGTTGAACTAGCACATTCTTAGACACTGGAAGCATTCTGAGATAACCCCTTCTTTCCTGCAGTGGATAGAGTGAGTGTCTAGCCTTTTCTCCAACAAAACTTATTCTTAGAGTTTTTCAAATTCATTTTAAGCCACATCATTTGGATGAAATGCTTTTCTTTTCATTGGGAATTCAATCCCATGGTCTATTAAGACAGTTCCATCAATGGTCTAGAGCCATTTTCTATCTCCTTCAAAGAATACCACTTTCTCCTCTTGTTTCCTGGCCATCCTCCGTCATTCGCTGATTACTGTGAATCACAGGATGCTGGCAAAACTTACAGTAAAAGGCACATACACTCAGTGACGTCCAAACTCACTCTTATCACAGTGGTTTTAGTTCCTTCTTCTTCTCATATGCATTATCCAGCTCCC